CAAGTAAATTCATACAAAGAATAGAAGAGAGGTTACCTGAGGTTGGGGGTGGGGAGAGGGGAATGGGGAGTTTTTACGTAATGGCTATAGACTTTCTGTTTGGGGTGATGAAGAGTTTTTGGAAACAGATAGGGGTGATGGTTGCACAACACTGTGAATGTAGTTAATGCCACCGAATTATAAACTTAAACATGGTTAGAACAATAAACTTCATGTTATGTATTTTTACCACAAAAATAAATTTTAAAAAAAACCTATCTAGAGCCACAGAAAACATGTTATGTTACTGGGGTTGCAGGGGACCACTGGAAGGTGCATGCCTTTGCAAATTACTTGTTCATTCATTGCAAGTTTAAGTTAACAAGACTGTCTCTTTAGTCTTTCCATTTGATCATAATACCCCATGAGGTGGACAAGGAAGGTACTGTTAGCGCTACTTATTTTAATGGATCAAACCCCAGAGGACCTGGGATTTTGTCTTTAACTCTTCCTTGAGTAAAAATAAGTAAGCCACAGAAAGACACGTTCATAATGTTTCCAAATTGGAACAGTTAGTTAGAGAAGACTATTTAATAGGAGACCCATGCCTAAGGTATGGTATCTTAGGGTGCTTGGCACAGACTATATGGCTGGACGGAGAGGTTGGAAGTGGTGACTCAAATGAAAACAAGCTCACACGAAATGTGAGGGGGGCATCAGAGGAAAGGGAAGAGGCCATCAGCACTGAAACATATTCGGAAAGGTGAAATCAAAACTAAATACATAGACACACAAATACAACCTATACTTTCCAAGCACCTGGCTGGACAGAGAATAGCAAAATCATGACTTCTCTCCCTTTAAATATATATGCCTCAGCCTGCAATTGTTGCCCTTTTATGGACTTTTCCACTTTTCTTTTCTTCTGCCTTTAAAGGCTGCTCTTTTGAACTGTAGAATACTGGGATGTTGGAGAAAATATATACGGGCCATTGAATCATCACTCCTTTATGCAATCGCCACACTTGAGTGAGGAAATACCTAGTACGGTTTGGTTTGGAGATAATAAGGAAGAATTATTTCAAAACAGTCAGTTTTTTTACTCCTGAATGGAGTCTATCTTACATAGCCCAATAAGCTACTTTCCCCTTTGAACTAAGTAGTACTCTTCTTCCTAGGTTGAAAGCTGTCCTCCTCTCTCATCTTCCCCATGGCTTCCCCAGCCCATGGCAAAGTGCCTGACTCCTAAATGGGACTCCAGTAATGTTGGTGGAATACATTGTTTAAGTACTGTTTCACCTTCTCAGAACAAAAATGCATTCTTTTTCACATTATGCAGGTTGAACCTTAAAAAAAATGCATGTACCTGTTCTATGACAACCACAAACAAAATAGGTGAGCTTATCCCCACACTGAAATGCAATCCAGCTATGCAACTCAAGTGAATAATCTAAAATGTTTAAGGGTAATAGCTGTAGGATTAATGCTGGGGCCCACATGACATGTCCATGCTCACTGAGGACTATCCCAGTAAGATTTTCCATAATCACACAGCATACCAGAAGCCTAAATCAAATCTCCCCAAAATTTAAGTAACAGAACTGAGCCCCATTTGATTGAAAATGCACTGAGCATCGACCACCAAATTACTGTATCCACTGTTTCTAGTTCAAAACATTTTAGGGCTGCCAAGAACACCATAAAAATAATAAAACTTTACAGTTTATAGCACTTTCTAAAACACTTTTATACTTAATTCATTAAACACATTACAGCAGTGGTTCTCAACCAAGAGTGATTTACTCCCCTCCTAGGACATTTGGCAATGTGTGGAGACATTCTGGTTGTCACAACTGGGGGGAGGGGAGATGGTGGCATGCTACTGGCATCTAGTGGGTAGAGGCCAGGGATGCTGCTACATATCCTGCAAAACACAGGGCAGCCCCCGCCTGCCAAGAGTTATTTACCCAAAAGTTAAATAGGGCTAAGCTGAGAACTCCTCCATCAGAATACCAACTTCTTGCAAGACATATATGGTGCTGAATGCTGAGGAAGTGAACATGAACAAGACATGGGCAGCCCATCAAGTGAGGAGAACTGGCAGGTGGCACTGACAACAGGCTGTGATACGCACTACGACAGGGGTGTGTGCGAGAGGCTACCCAGGGCAGAAGAAGCAACTGCTTCAACCAGGAGGTCAGGGTACTTCCCCAGCAGTGACTTTCCAGCTGGAATGTGCAAGATGACTTCATCAAGCAGAGGACAGCACTGCATGCTAGCCGGGAGAAATTGCATATGCAAAAGCAAGCAAGAGTCACCAGCATTGTATGCGGGGCTACCAAAGCCAGAGATTAACGCGGTGTGTCTCCCTGGAAGGCCAATCTCACGTGGACAGAAGGAGAATTTCACAGGTAAAGTGATTTTTATGGCATTTTAAAAATATCGAAAACCAGGTATATGGAGTAGAATATAAATTTCGCATGATTTTTTAAAATAACACAAGAAGTTCATTGTTAGACTTGCAATGCTAAGGGTACTAGTTAGGTTGCTCTCACCCTCAGGAATATTTTGGTGACATTTGAGCAATGGCAAATGTTCCAAAATAATTAACTCCATGTGTTTGGAGCACAAAGAGGATGCAGGTAAAAGGAAAAAGGCGGCTCTGGTGAGAAATCAGGCTGGACAGTATCATCTTAACAATTCTTACAGGCCATGTTACACAGTCTGCACCTCCTTCAGGCTGGGCAGGAGCAGTCACTGGAGGCTGGGAGAGGAGGAAATGGCAAGATCTTGGTGCTGGGAAAGCAAGAGACAGGAGAAAGGTTAAAGTTATGAGGCAGTTAAGTCTAAACAGGGCAAGGGCAGGAAGGAGGAAGATTTCAGATACGAAGGCAGTAGAATCCACAGGATCAAACTTGAGAGTGATGGAGAAGAAACTTTTTTAGGTTGGGCAGCCGGGGGGGGGGGCAAGTAATGAGAATAGAAAATTGGGGGAGAAAGAGGTTTTTATAGTAGGGGTAAAGGTGATCCCATTCAAACCTCAAGACAACCCTGCAAATTATATGAAATATGTATAGATACAGTCATGCCGTTTCCAGAGGAAATCAGTAAGGCTCCAGAAGTAGACGGGCTTGCCCAGCATCACACTTCCAGCAAAAAAGAAGGGAGATGGCAGCCAGGGTGCTCAGCTCCTGATCTGGGGTCTTTCCACTCATGCTGTCTCTCTAGTTATATTTTACAGTTATAACTAAACTTGATCATCATGATAGATCAGTTGTGACCAAATTTCCATCGGCTATAAGAGCCCTGGATACAATTCTGAATTGGTGATATTCAGTTAGGAGCTTGTCCACTTCCAAGCGAAGCCCATTTTGATTTCCACGTAAATTCAATAGACAATTAATTGTGACTGTGAAATTCAGGGCAAATGATTGAATTTTTTTCCCTAAACTGTTCTTTGTCAATCTCAGTATATGATCAGAATTAACTTGAAATTCTTTTTATAACTTCATAAGCAATCACATTGGAATAAATCAAAATCCTAGCAACAAGTGTTGGCGCTTAACATACTCACCTACACGGAGGTACTGAAATGGCCTGTGTGGAAGCGGTAAGCTCAAGAGCAGGAACACAACCGATGGTCGAGAGATACCAGTGTTCCTTTCTATCTAGCTACCTACTACTCAGGTGCATGCTTTCTTGAGTATTTGGAAGCAAAAATATTAATTGCATGCTTTATCTCACGGGATTTAAAGTCCAAAACATGCTCCATGACACACATAAAAAATATTCAGTTCACACCAACAATATCGTGTCTCAATATTAATAGCTGATACTATTAATGGAGCATCATTGTATGCCAGGCACCAGGCCAAGAATTTATGTGATTTATCTCATTTACTCCTTATTATATGACTTAGAACTATTACTATCCTGGTTTTACTGACAAAGAAATAGGCTCACAGAAGTGAGGTCATAGAGGCCTGTAAGCCACAACATGAATCCAGATCTAATTGATTTCAGAATGCATGTTCTTTAACCACCAGGCTTCCAGCTTCCCCCAAAGACTCTATTATCCTAGAACACAGCTCAGGGCACATCAAGTTTCTACGGTTCTTGTCACCTTCCCTTGAACTTGACAGACATGTAATTAGTCCCATTGTCTTAAATCAAGTGTAGCAACTCACCCAAGAAATGGATTTCCATTCACAGTTTTAAACAATGTCAACCTGAGTTCATGTCATAGCAGTCCTAAGCCACTGACCCTAGCCACCAAAATATTACCTCATCATTAGAAAAAGTGGGCCCCTTGCCCATGAGCACAAATGGAAAAGGCAGCCCTTTCCTACTCTGTTCCTTCCTTTGATCCTATCTACCTCTTATTTTTGTGGCTTTAGTTTCTCATCAGTTCACTAAAAATGGAGTATCGCTTTTTCTCATGATGCATTTTCACATGGCAAATCCACTACAAAATTTATACAAATGTGTATGATGTAAAGATCATCTCTCTTTGCCAGCAAAGGGAAATGCTCAATAAATAAATAAAAAATAATTAAGATGGGTCTGACATGGCTGACTCATTCCACTGACTAAGTAAAGGAATGGTCTGGAGCCTGAGACTTTGCAGGCGAGATCTGGATTAGGATTTCAACTTGCCACTGAGCCTCCTGAGTAAGCTTAGGAAGGTAAAGTGCTTCTGAGTCTTGATTTCTTGATCTATAAAATGGAGACACTGGTACCTACCTCCTGTGATATACACGAGAACTATTATGTTATTAACATGAGTTAAAGATTGCAAATGTGAAATGTTTTAATACCTGCCCATTATATCAAAGCTCTCGGTAAGTGATAACTTCTACTCCAAAACAAAGAGCACCAAACCTCCATATTTTTCCCACCTAAAGTGTAGTGTAACTATACTAAAAGACAGAAGACAGCTGTCTGAGCAGGACCACCCCTCCTATTACATAGTCCACCGGTGACTTTCTACGTTCCCCAGAACCCCACCTGGATATACTGACCTGGGAGAGAGGGCATTCTTTGGCTAATGTGCTCTGGTTCATCTCTTTGAGCAGTTCCTTTAAGGCATTGCGGACTGTGGCATGGTTCCACTGCTCCGCAGGCAAGTCTTCCAACTTCGAACAACTGGGAAACAGAGCAAGAATGAACAACACACAAACCTTAACGGAGGGCCCTGGCTGCAGAGGGTACAGATTGTGACAGTCACTCCCGGGTCCTCTGCCAGCAGGGGGAAAACTGCTAAAGCTCAGGGTCTACTGTGGGCCCTGAATGAGGGTAACGGAGAAAAACTGCTTCCCCAGGACTTGGACCGAGCCCAATTCGGCTTCTTTAAGTTTGTTTTCATACTGGCCTAAGAAAAATAGTCACTTCAGATATGAAGAATTGCTAATATTTTAAAATATGGTTTTTCCAGTTTGTTGATGAAAACGGCATGGCAATATGATTGTAAACTTCCACAATACAAGTTTAATTATTGGACATCCCTAAGGTTAAATGTAGACAAACAGTCCATCAAATTCAAAGCTTGAAGGTCCACTCTTCATTCTCCTAGAACAATTCGGAGATGTTGTTTCCCTAACCAAAAATAACTTTTAAGAGAGGACACTAAAGCCTTCCTGGACAAGGATGGGGATGTTGGGGTCCTACTAAAGAACAAATACTCTAAAATGAGAAAATTCAAAACCCTTAAAGGACAACATTTCTTAAATCCTACGACTTACAGGCACTTTCCGATACAAGATGCTGCAGAGAACTAGATGCTTTAGAGGCATAACTTGTTCTGGATACTGTACCTGAAAAAAATCATTTCCAGAACCTCTGCAGGCCACAGAGTGTGCTTCTTTAAGGTGGCCACCAGGAAGGGAAGAAAAAGATACCCAGTGCCAGCACCTTCTTGGTAAGCCTGCTACACAGGGACAGAACTCAGCCTTCAAAACAAACCTGAAAACAGCAGAAGTGCTTATTCTTCAAATAGTATATGCTAAGCATTTCAACAGAGAACCCATTAAATTAGGGGCTGTGGAAAGTTCCCCTTTAAGGGCCACAGATTTTTAATGATTTATCAAGCTTCCCCTAGGTTACCACTTCACTGCTTCTGAAAACAAAACATAAAACAGTTGGAATGTGGACTATAAAGATGCCTGGTGAAGTGTCCCTCCTTCCCTTCTCTCTCTCCCTTTTTAATTTTTTTTTCATTTCATCCATGTCTACAAATTAACAAAGACAGGACGTTCTAAGGTCGGCAGCGACTCTGACCGACGGAGCGGCTCCTCGAGTAAGGAAGGGCAGATGTTCAGAGACACCCACCTTTGTAATTGGATTTTCAACGTCACGACATGATAGACATCCTGCAGCATGTCGGCCACTGTGGCGTCGGGTGCATCTGTCACATAGCTGAGGGGCAGAGGGTTCCACCTCCCTAGCTTGATTATTCCTGCAAAGAGAAGAAAAACACAGTAAACACATTTCTGCTATTTATTAAACCTTCTCATTGTTTGTTCAGTGTTCAGAAGGTCATTCCATAGTCAACATTCAAGGCCCATTCAGAGATATTTTACAACCCGGTGCAATAACCTATTTCTTTCTGGCTGACAGCTGAGTTAACTATACAGGAAGATGGGAATGAAAGGATGGGGTTTAATCACGGACAATCAGTTCTTTTATGTTTTCCTGTTTCTTAAATTACTTAGAAAACCATACGGATACTTCCTTCCCCCAAAGTCTTGTTTCACATTCTAACTTAAGACTGATGCTAAATATACCGGACTGCTGATTTCATAGACCAAAAAAAAAAAAAAAAAAAGCAAGACTTAAGTAAATATAAGATTTGGTTTTGAATTGTACAAGAAAATTCCTGTGTGTGGGCTCAGCACACACACAGTCACATCCTGACTGTGGTGTGATCCCCAGTGCAAACAGCATTTGGAGCTGATGAAGCAGTTCTAGTTCACTTCCAGATTCGTGTTTCACCAGGCAGAGGGGTTATTTTCCAATAGCACAATGACTGACCACAGATCAGAAATAGCAGAGATGCCTTCAACTTCCTTTTTTTTTTTTTTTAATTTTATTCCTCTGCTCTTTTTAGAGTGATAATGGTACCATTTCCCTGTGGGTTTCCTGCTGCATATGGTAAACATGCACAACAATGGAGAGAGAATAAAAATCCTGGTCAAACTTGGGCAACAGAGAGCAGTGACTTTAGGAATACCCTTGTGACAAGAAGATTTGTGGGACAGCTTCAGCAAAACATGATGAAAATGCTAACTTATTCATAAGATGGACCCACCTTATCTGGTGCATAAGGGCACATGTAACGTTGATGAAGAAAAATAAAGAAAAACCCATTCAAAAACACAGTGTAACAAAAATTTTATTTGTATGCAACGAAAAACCCAACGGTCCCCAAGATGTCAGAAATTATCACACATAAGAAACAACTGTTTTAGTGAAAGAAAAGGAACAGAATCTTTTTTTGACAATACAGGTGAGTCCAACTACACTGTTCTTTCAAAATATTTTTTATCGTCAAAGAGAGAGAACACCTGTATACCCAAGTGAACTTTTAAAAGCTTCACAAAATAATGCTTTATAGCTATGGGGTAAAATTCTAATAATAGGAAATGAACTTTCTGGTCAGGGCACGTCCTGTCCAAGATGAAATAAATGAATGCGCAATGCTTGACATAATGCTTGAAAACAGGGAATAAACAGAACAAAAATATTAAAATGATGCACTGTTTCAGTATTAAGATTTAACAATCTGGTGCTGAATATGCTGCAGTATAAATAGTGCCTGGACTCAGATCCAATAAAGTAACACAGCTCTCATTCATAGTACCGTATGTCTCCAGTTCTGGCTCCTTAAGTCACATTTCACTTGCCAAGAAAAGCTGTTTTCTTGTGGGGATAGTTTTGCTAACATTCTCTCTCATGACAATGAAAAGTGCACAGCAATGCAGCATAAAGTAGCCATGAAATGAACATCGAGGGCCCACTGGACAGCCACCTGGAGAGAGGCTGGGTCTGCTGTCTTGCTTCTTTGACTCCTCCTAACCTTTGAAAATTACTAAAAAAGATAACATATAATGTGTCTAACATATTTCCTTTTTTTAAAAAAAAAAAATCACTACATAACTTTAAATTCCTTTAAAAAAATCATTATCATGATAGCCCGTTGAGTATAAATCGGCCATATTCTAAAAACATGGTATATTTCATTATAAGAGATTGGAAGGAGGGAAAAGGGAAGTCAGCAATTGCACCCTGCGCCCTATGACAGGTAAGTAGAAGCCGACTGTGTGGGTCATTTTGGTGACGAAGAATACAAAGGTAACATGAAGCCCACAACTCCTGCCAGCTGCCAGGCACAATGCTAGAGCAGGTTCCCCCATGCTGCTGTGTGTCTGTGCGTCACTGTTCTTTCCTTTTTATTGCTGAGTAGTGTCCCACTGTAGGAATAGACCACACTGCAGTCACACACAACAGAGGATCTCTGCAGGATTTAATTTATATAAAATACAAGAACAGGCAAGACTACAGGACTAATCTATGGGGACTGAGGTCAGAAAGTGGGTACCTCTAGACAGCAGGGGCAACCGACTGGGAAGAAATGTAAAGGGATTTTCTTGTTTTGGCTGCTGGTTGCATGGGCATAAAAACTGTCAAATTCATCAAATGCAACACTTAATACGCATACATTTTACTGTACATAAATTGTATCTCAATATAAAAAAGGGTATTGGGGGAGGGATCTCTGCAGGAAATGACAGACAAATCACTCTACTGGAAAACAGTAATCTCCATTTAGGTGAATTCTCTCCCCACCTTGATGAGCCGGAAGGAGACTTGTCTGGGCTGGAATGAGACACGCACAGGTGTCTTCACAACACTTAATGCCTCCACGGAGAGCAGCTGCTACAGGTTGGTTTCTACATCTTGGAAGAGAGCTGTTGACACATGCTCTTTTCAGGCAATGGGAACTGGCGTGTGCTTTTGCTTTTTCACACCATACTGAATAACCTGCATGGTCCTGGAAGTCACTTTCTTTGCTCTTCTATCTACCAGGGTCTGCAGGTGCAACATCTGCTAGGACAACTATGTCTAGAAGACTGCTCTCCTCCAGCCAGGCAGGGACATGATGTAACTCTTTTTTAAAAGCCTTTCCTCCAAACATGGTCTTTGTCTAATGCATGAACCCTCTTTGGAAATGCATCCCTTAGATACAGTCTTCCTTCCCCAACACAAAACAGACAAAAATATTACTTGGGCTAGAAGTCAAATGTTAATTGAGGAAATCAAACTGGGAAGCACTATAACACAGTGACTAAGAATGCAGGTTTCCAAGTGAAATTGCCTCTGTTCACACCCTGGCTCCTCCACCTACCATGTAACCCCAGAAAGTGACTTAATTTCTCCATACCTCAATCCTCTCTCTATACAATGGAACAGTAAAAGTACTGACCTCATTGGAATATTGTGCAGATTAAATGGAAAGCCCTTAGTACAGAGCCTGGATATAATTAATTTCAACAATTAGCTGTTTACAGCAATTATTTAGACATTTTTAATGCTTCCTTTAGAAAAGACATAGTCAACTTATGACTCAAGTTTTGTTTCTTGTTTTCTTTTATGACTTCATTATCTTTCAATCTTTACTTGGGTCATGTACCTGTAAAAGGCCCTCATTATTTTAAATCAAAAAGGAGGACTGCACATCAGTTGTCTCTCCCTCACCTCCCTCACCTCCCCACTGCCTCCTCCCCATTCATCTCTTCCATCCTTGCCCCTTGGTGCCTCCTTTCCTTCCACCTAGAAGTAGGTTCAGATCTCCCCGACTTTAAAAGTAACAAAAACACGACAACAGTCTCGTTCCCTTCAGTCTCTCATTTTTTTAAAGCTCCACCAGATGTGTACCAGAAGTGCATGTCCAATTCTCCATCGGACTTTCACCGCCTAGATATCTATGTTCAACTCTTTCCAAGAGGAAATGGAAGTTCAGAAGGGTTGCATTACCTTCAGTGGTACCACCAATGCAATAACTAAACCCAGATTCACTTCAAATACCATGCTCTGACTCTTCTTAGTAGCCTGTAAGTCACAGTGGTTCAAGTGCGAAGCAGAGAAGATTAGAAAAGAGCCTGGTTCCAACTTTGGAAGGCCCTGAATGGCCGACTCAGAAGCACACTGGGTCAGGGGTCAGGGGCGAGGCCTGGAGTGCAGCCTCCTCTGCTTGTTAGCTGTCAGACTTTGGGGGAGTTGTGTCATCTCTCCAAGTCTCTGTTTCTGTTATCTGTAAAATGGGGCTAAAAACAATGCCTACCCTTGAGGGGTGTCACGAGGCTTTAAATGAGAATGAGAATTTAGCACTAGGATTGACCCAAATGAATCTCAGTAAACATTAAGGGGGGGAAATAGATCCTGGGGAGTTTTTAGTGTAGATGTAACACCACCAAAGCAAAGTGATAGGAAGATTAACCTCCAGTGAATGCAGGTGGATTAAAAGAAGGCAACATTCTAAGGGGGAAAAACGAGCTGAGAAATCCAGACTGGCGTGTCTAAATATAACCATTAACAGCCTCTTCCCCACTTCCTCCACAGAGGGATATGCTCCCACCGAATGCTACAGTCCAGGAAGAACAGGCTATGGGCCTGCCGGGGAGATGTGACTTGCAGTGCTGGAGAAACCTCAATATTAACAGCCTAACTCTAAGTATACGAATAGAATTTTCAACCCTCACATTTTATGAGTAGGCTTTACAACTGCTATCTGAAAAGTGAAAAACTAATGATTAGATAGTACTACGTGCATGCACACACACAGCTCAAGCCCAGCCAGACACATGGTAAATGCTCAATAAATGGCAAGTCCCATTTCTTCCCTGAATACACTTCACACTCTCACTGTGAAATACTGATCCCCAACATTCACTTCTAGAAATGGTACACATTCTTCAAATTCTCCCTGAAAATAATTCCAACCCTGATCAACCCAGCCTTTTCCCTACGTAGCACTGCAGGAAATATTCTTGGTCAGTCTGTGTATCTTATAAAAAACTTACTTTATCACAATACCCCTTTATGTTACTTTAGTTTGTGAAGTGTGTGTGTGTGTGTGTGTGTGTGTGTGTGTGTGTGTGTGTGTGTGTTTCCCCCAAAGCATTAATTCAGCCTCAGGGGGACAGCAAGGCATCAGTATTTTACCTGGAAGTGAGCTGAAGAGCGCCTTTTCAAGCACATCAGTTGCTGACAACCAGGCAAGTTTTCTAGCTACTGGACCAAAAACCTTTCTTCTCAGCTCTGCTCATGTGCCAATGCTCAACCACATAAGGGGCCTCCGGAGAGCCTGGTCATGGTTTGTCCACAGTCACACATCAGACAGCGTCTTGATATTTAAACAACGTAATGTAGGAGACCAATGAGCAAACAGGTGACAGG